CATTACTGACCCTGTGAGTGTGACAGCACAGATTTTGGCTCTGTGTTGTGTTTGTATACCTGCCTAGTTACGGAGACAGTGTTATTCTTGGTTATAGATGCTTAAATCATATGAGAGAAGGTTCAGACTGTCTTATTTTTTTAGCATTTTCAATTAATTGGCTGCCAGTAATATTCAGTCTAGTTTTCTGCTTCTGTATGCTTTTGAATAAGATGAGCTATGGACATTCTTGTTTTGTTGGGTTTTTTTGGCAGGTGCTGCCTACTGTCAGTTTATGGACATGCTCTTCCCTGGCTCTGTAGCACTCAAGAAAGTGAAATTCCAAGCAAAGTTGGAACATGAGTACATTCAAAACTTCAAGATTCTACAAGCAGGTTTTAAACGAATGGGTGTTGACAAAGTAAGCAGCCCCAGTTCTCTTTGCGCTTAAATTTTAGACCATTTGTACTGTCTGCCATGTAAACCTTGGAGCATTGCTTGCTATCTGTTTTACTCTGGGGGGAAGGTTGCCAGTCGCTAGTGACGGTACCTGTCCTTTCACCTTCCTCAAGATGGTAACATCTATTAGTGCTGGATATCTGGCTGTTGCTAATAGGATGATTTCCTTTGCCTGAAATCCATATGCTTGTTTATAGATTAGTGCTAAGACTCATCTGAGATGCTGTGCTTACACTACTTCTTATTTTTGTACAAGGTGCTTTTGGTGGCCAGAGGCAGTTGGCCTGGTTCCAAAGTCCCAAGTCCTACCTCTTCTGGCAGCTCTCAGGCTACAGTGCTGCAGCATAGACCTGTGAAAGTGCCAGTTCAGATCAAGTGCAGATTATCCATGTAAATGACAACAAAAAACAGAGTTGATTAAGATTTTCTGTATTAACCTTTCTGTGTTCCTCACCTTTTATTTTTGAAGGAAACCTTTTTTTTAAAGAATGAATGAATAATCCACTCTCTACATCCATTTAGTCATCCCTGTATTGCGGCTGCTATTTAGTGTGAAGAGCAACTAACTTAGATAAGTGTGTTGCATAAGAACTAGATGGCCACATCTTGGATCACCAGATCGCCACTGTTTGTGTCTGGTTTTGGTTCAACCTTGGGCTAGTGGCCTGCAGGCGAAAAGGCTTTTAGAGTTCCAACTGTTCCCTTGGTAATTTCCATTTATGAGGTCATTGGGAAGAGGGTGATACACATCATGGTCAAAGCTTTGTGAACTTTCTAGTATATTTAAATAGCTGTGGATGTTTGGGAGTCTGATGTTGGCCAACAAATGAGACCCAGAGTATGTGGGGAAGAGATGGACAGACTCATAAAAAGGCTGAGAGCTCAGGAATAGAAAAGCAGGTTTCGTGTTGGAACTTACCTGATGATAATTACGATCATCAGACCTTTACATTTGAACTTGCTGCTGTTCTAAGTAGAGCAAGCTCTGTTCCAAAGAGTGGAAAAATCTCTGGTACTCAGAGTTCAGTGTATACCAGTCGAACTCTCTGTGGATTTGAACTAAATTGCATTAGATCATCTACTGTGCCATGTCTCTTGGTAAAGCCCACACTGAGATTAAAGAGCTTCTCGCTTATGAGTAACAAATTGTACTTTTTTTCCTTAGATAATTCCTGTGGACAGACTAGTGAAAGGAAAATTTCAGGACAATTTTGAATTTGTTCAGTGGTTCAAAAAATTTTTTGACGCAAACTACGATGGAAAGGACTATGATCCCGTTGCTGCCCGACAAGGCCAAGAGACAGTAGCACCTAACCTTGTCACTCCAGTTATGAACAAGCCCAAGAAAGCACTTGGTTCTAGCGGTGCAGGTAAAGCAAAATCTAAACGTCTTTTTAAAGGATTTCCAATAAGTGCTTGGAGAACAAGCATTGACTTAACTGTTTAAATTCATCTTATCAAATTGTGGTAGTTCACAGCTTTCCTTTATTTCAAAGAGTCCAGTTTCAAAACATCAGCTTATACTATGATATGTATGAGAGATCTCATTTTGTACCCATCCTCTTATTTCATGGAGAAATGGAAGAGATTCCATGACTGAGATGGGGGTGATGCTTTATCTGCAGGCTAGGCATGGCAGTCACCTTCAGGTCAGATAGCACGTAACCATTAGGACTTCCTTTACCTCTTGTAGATAACAGTTTCTTGGGAGCAACAGAGATGAAGGCTGCAAAAACAGACTCTTCTTCCATAAAGAAAATGGCAATGATTGGTACTAATCTTTTCAGGGAGAAGGGACACTTCACATGGTGAATCTGGGGCTGTTTTTGCTGTATGACACAGATCTTCAAACTTTTCACTGTTCTGTCTTAGCATGGCTGAAAATAACTCTTCTTGGTATCTTGAAGGATACAGCTATGCTGTCCAGAGGGGCTTTGTTCCCAGAATGAATGTGTTTAAGAGAATTAATGCAACCTTTTCACTCTTTAGCTCCACAGAGACCCATAGTTACACAGAGGCCCACAGCAGCTTCTAAAACTACCACTGCTATGGTTAAAAAACCTCCAGGAGGAATAGGAGAAGATGAATCAGCAGAATTGATTCAACAGGTGAGTCTTAAGCTGGTAGAACGTCAGGCTAACCATATGTGCTTAAAGTGAAAATGTATGAATCTTTACTGTAGGCAGGACATGAGAGGGGCTTGGAAATATAGCAGAGCAACTTGACTTAGTATGCTCTGCTAAAAGCATGTACTTCAGGACCTGTTCAATGTATACACCTTTTTCTTTCCTGAAAAAGGGCTGAAACGCCTCTTATAGTTTCATAGTTGATAGGGTTGGAAGGGACCTGAACAGATCATCAAGTCCACCCCGCTGCCATGGCAGGAAAGAGTACTGGGGTCAAACAACCCTGGCAAGGTGTTCATCCAGCCTGCTTTTAAAGACCCCCAGGGTAGGAGCAATGTGATAATACACAAGCACAGATCTATTGTGTACTGATATCATATGTAGGATTTGACTCGGTATTCTACAGTTGCATAGCAGATGTCTAAGCAGCATTCCTGTCAAGCTATGAACAGCTGTCACTTCATCGCAGGAGTGTGTGTGGTATGTTGTGCTGCCTAACCTAAAAAAATAGACCTTAGCAATGAAGACTGATGGCAGTTGAGCTTTATCTTATGTGATGTAACAAGCCCTTAAACATCGCAAGAGGGAGGACCTTTGCAGGGGATCGGCTGTCTGTAGTGGGAATAGACTATTCAACTTCTAAACTATACCTGTCATCTCGGCAATAGAATAATCAGGATCTTGATTATGCCTTACCTGTTTGTGACACGGTGCTTTTTTTGGTAACAGGGGAAACTTTGCTTTCTAAGTAAGGACTCTTGGGACTTATTGCTACTGGAGAAACTAGTGCTTGAGTAGTGACATTTTTCTTTTTTCTGAGGGCAGATTAATGTATTGAAGCTCACTGTTGAAGACCTGGAGAAGGAGCGGGACTTCTATTTTGGCAAATTGAGAAACATTGAACTGATCTGCCAGGAGAACGAAGGGGAGAACGATCCAGTGCTGCAGAGGATTGTGGAAATTCTTTATGCCACAGATGTAAGCATTTCTGTCTAGTACACAGCTGGAGGGAAAAACAAATTCTCCTACCTCATGTACCCAAGTTACCTGGGAACCGCAGAATGAAAGGCCCTATAACTTAGTCTTTTACCAGCCCCACTTAATCCACAGTCAGCACTTGCTTTTCTCTACATGTAGAGAGGAGCTGTTCTTTTCATGTTGAAGAACAGATATTGCCTTGAGTGGATAGTGCAGCAGCAAATTCAGTTTGTACCCTAAACTACTTCAGTGCTTAGTGAATTACTATGATGAACACATACAAGATTTGGAGAAAATAATACTTCTCTCCTCCAGGAACCTAACTGGCCTCTCTAATTTTCAGCTGAATGGGTTTCTCCTTGACAGTATTCTAGGTAAAATTGCAAGGAAGGTTGTAGCACAGGAATCAGGTTTGTCATCTGCTTTTCATTAATGCACTCTTTCTCTCTCCCTTTAGGAAGGCTTTGTGATTCCCGACGAAGGAGCACCACAGGAAGAACAAGAAGAGTATTAACAGTCCACCTACTGTACCAGCGGAGCAGCAACACCAGAATTCTTTGCCCCAAATCATGTGCTTAACTGTAAAATACTCCACTTTATTCTTAGAGGACTCACTGGTTTCTTTTCATAAGCAAAAAAGTACCTCTTCTTAAAGTGCACTTTGCAGAAGTTTCACTCTTTTCCGATGGGTTTGAGTTAGGAGCTCTTTTTCACTTTGTAGCAGAGCAGTATTAACATCTAGCTGGTATATTTAGGGAATAAGAGGCTGAATATTTGGAGCTTGTTGCAGAGTTGTTTGCTGGTAAACACTGGGTTGTGGAAAGACTTTTCTGTATCTGATGGAGGTGGAATGTGTAATAGAGAAATTAGATTGACTTGCAGAAAGATTGATTTAATGTGAAATTGTGGCAGAGAACTTTTAATAAAAATGCCTTAAGAGTATTTAAAATATGCTTCCGTATGCCAAATTAAAGTAATGTGACAGGAGATTTTATGTGCTTCATACTGGGGTGAAAAAATGTCTGACCCCTTACACTGCTGTCTGGGAGGCCTTGCATGGTGATAGCCTCCCTTGTGATAGATTTCTGTATCAGCAAGTACCCAAAAGGGGCTAGTAAAACAACTCCATCCCTGCTCAGTAAAGCTGCTCACCGAGTGATTAGTTCTCAGTGAAATAGGTCTTAATGTTGCCTGTGGCAAGATTAGAAGGAGTATGAACAGCTGAGACCACACATGCAAGTTATCTTGAGTGCTAAATCCTTCTCTGTGGCATTGTGGCTAACAACTTTGCCAAATTCATGTACTGTATTTTCTGGAAAATAACATGCATCCAGGCTTATTGCCGAAAAAGAATCTTTGAGTCGCTGTCCTCCGAGGTTCTTGTTTCTCCTTGTCTTGTCTCCTGTTTTTGTGGTGTCCTTTCTAGTCTGTTTTACTCTGGTTTTCCTTCCCTGCCCCACAAAGATTACTGGTGAAACTAGTGAATGTAATGGAACTTGACCGGTCAGGTCTCATTATAATAGAAGTGAGTGCATTGAGGCTGATACACTTTTTGTACCTGTTGGGCAGTCTTCCTCTGCCCTTGGTGTACTTGAATAGTGATGCTTGCCAGTACAAGAGTCTTCTGGGGAGAAATCTAAAAGGTGATGGCTATTGGAGCTGATGTTGTTGCAGAAAATACAGTACCGTGACTAACTTAAATATTAATATTTAAAACACTTTCTTGAACTGTCCCTTTTGCTCTCGTGCCCCTCATTCCTGTTGTGTTTGCCAGGTTTCTGCAAGACTAATTCCCCCGCTACTGAGATTGATTGGTCCTGTGCTTGTATTTGTTTCTGGTGGTAGCTTGTCCTAAAACGTGTGTGTAGAAGGCGAGCATTTATGGTAATTGTGGTTTAGTGCATGAATTGTTGTGAAATTCAGAAGAAAACCCAAATTCAGTGAATGCCAAAAAAATGCAAGTAACCAGCCATTGTTAAATTGCAGTGGTACTATTTTTCTTGTGGCCTTTTAGACTTTTGTTGCCCTAAAATTCCGTTTTGCCAAGAAACCATAATTCACCTGGATTTTTCTTGACAGGGTTTTTTCTACTTTAAGCAGTTTCTAAATAAAGTTCTGTATTTCAAGAGTGTCATATCTGCTGTAGTCTAATATTCTGGGATACAATTAGGTTAAATTAAAGATCTTGATAGTTTCGGTCTGAAATTTACACAACTCGAAACGTCCCTTTTCCTCCTCCAATTGTAACCACGTTCCTTGCTAACATAAGCAGCAGTAATACTGAATTTGAGACTTCTGTTGGGGGAAATGTCTTTAGCATTTGTTTACAACAAGTGGAAGAAATGGTAGACTGTGCTTTCTCTTTCCTTGGGTGTAAGCATGCTACTGGGTCTTTCTCTGTACGTGACTTATGGCAAAGCCCTCTAAGGCACTGTATTGCTAGAAAAGAAAAAGTTGGCAGCTAGCCTTAAAAGTCCTAAGATGCTGAACATATGAATGCTACCAGTGTCTCTCTTAAAATGGCTGAATCTCTTGTAACTTGGTCATCTTGTTAAGTTTTCAGTAAGCTTCATAGGCAAGCCTGAACGTTAGGTTTGTCAAAGGCACAATGAATGACTAGCTTCTGCAGGAAATGCTAATGTGGTTCCTAGGAGTTATGACAGGTCCCTGAGACTTGCCTCTGTTTATGCTGGAGGTGACTGGAATGGTCCATGAATCCAGTTCCTAAGCAATAGGCAGTGGTGGCAACGAAAAGTAGTGCAGTGTGAAGGTGCATAGGAGGGACGGGGCTTTGCACATAAAATCTTCTCTCCCATTGCTTATTTGCTGTAGTGTCCAAAGCTTGCTCTCTTTCAGCTTTTTGATATCTATATGCTAAACACTTGCTCTCCCTGCATACTCAAAGCAAAAGATGGAGGTAACAACGTGACTGGTGGAACCTGACTTGGGAGGTGAGATTGGGTCTTTCAGCATCTGTGAGAATAAAGTTTCACACTGAATCACGGTTGCTTCAGATGTGTCCCACAAGAGTATGTTTGGCAGTGAACTATAAAGCATCCAGGTAGCCCCGCCAACAGTACAGTTGCACTAGATCAGCTTGGTCTCTGCTGCCAGAAACATGCCAAAAGAGAGAATGAGGTGGAAATAGAAGTTGTGCTCGTGTCCTGTGGCTGCGTAATATGTTCAGATGTGTAGCAATGGCCAGTGAGGCAACACAAGTAAATGGAAACTTGCAGGGCTGCAAGTCAAATGCTGCTAAAATTGTTAGTTCCCTAATACCAAGAAAGATGTTAGTAAAATTAGCAAACTCTTAATACAGATAATTTATTCACAACACATTTATATATCACAGATGTCTTGACATGGTGGCTTTCCTTTTTTTGTTTTTTGTTTTCCTGATTTCCTTGTTGGGAAGCAAATTTCCAGAATAAATTCAGCTCAAACCCATGAAATTCATGTAGCTATTCTGAGCTGGTACAGTACTGGCTGTTTAGATATTGAATGCTCTCCTGCTGGGATTCTTTCAGAAGACATCCAACCTTTCGTAGCTCTTTAGTTTTATCAAATACCTGAAAAGCAAACAATGGAACAACCAAAAGCTCCTGTTTGTCTTTTCTGTACCCAACACGTGTCTTACTTACAGGTGGGCTTGCAGATATTTTTTAACTTTATTGTTCAATCTTTTCAGAGTTCCTGGCTTGCAATGACAATTTTTACTGTAACTGTTAAAAGCCTACAAATAAAGGCTAAGAATTTACATCACTCTTTCATACCCTGTTAATATTTAATGTGATCATTATTTATTCAATTGTTTGTTTGTCTGTTTGTTATTTGCACTGATAAAAATATGCTACTATCTCTGTTTTAGATAAGCACGCAGCAACAATAAATAGAATTAGCTGAATTAAATGCTACTGGATATCCTCTTCAAGATGTAGCCTCATGAGCCGAGTGTGATAGCTCTGTTTAGCAGGTCACTGATGCTGTTGTGCTAAAATAGGACTCTGCCTCCTAATCTTGGGATTATCTGGGTAGTGTTTGTACAGTGCTCTGACGACAGGGCTATATAAATCTTAAGTATCTAGGTTACAGGAAAACTGAACGATGCATTGAATAGTTTTTGAAAGTTTAATGAGAATTAGTACAGAACAGACCCCACTTGTACAGCTGAGCATAGACCTTGGCCAAGTGGGTAGGCAATAAACCATGTCAAGGGTGAAGAGGCTTTTATACTCTTTAGAGAGCAGTGAAAGCATAATGTGGGAGTACTGATATATTCTGATACAGCCTGCGTGAGGCTGCGATACACCTATTCTAGAATGGGTTACCTAAACAGATAGCTACTGTGCAGCTTATAATCTTGTGATAAGGGACAGAAGATGACAGTAGTTTACCGAGTCATTTATAAAAACCCAATTCTGTATTTGGATAGGAATGCTTTCCCATCTAACCCCTCACTTTTAGAAAATGCCTGGCTCTCCAGAACAGCTGTGTCACATTGCAAGCTGCTCTTGTCCTTTGTAGCAGGCAGCTAGCATCAAGTCTGAAGTCATAGACCAAAACAGGAACTTTATGATATATAATTTGTGCAGCAGCACACGCAACCTAATGGTACTTTAACTTTGGAATTGCCAGGTAGAAATTCAGCAATGATTTGATTTCCCTTTCTTGTGTGTGGTTTGTTTTTCTTGCAAGTTGCATGGTACAGTGCAGTAGTTCCCCAGCTGGTCTGCAGATGGATTATGGATGGCACAGCCCTGTGCCTTTCTAGTGTCTTCAGTTAAAGCTTGATAAAGGTGTAGAGTGACTACATTGCAAAGAAGCAAAATTATGGTACAAATCCAGTTATTTTTCTCTGCTAGCCACTTGCCAAACCTGGCTAACTTTCACGCAGCAGTCATTTTAAGAGTTTGTGGTTGACTTGTTAGGAAATGTAGAAAACAGGAACTGATATTTTAGTTGTGTCCCCCCACCAAGTCTTCAAAGAACTTCAGCAAGACAGAAAACTGCTGTCCTCTTGCAAAGTCATTTCATGAATTGGTTGCATCCAAGTCTTCCAAAATCTCTCTGGAGCTACTGTTACACTAATGGAAGGTAGAAGAATAGTTGTTCTGCAGGCTTCAAATGTTGTGCGGTTACTTTTTCAAGAATATATCTTGATAATACGATTTTAGTTCCGTTTTTGATACTTTATATCATAAGCAGCAAGATGGCCGCTCAATAAGCCCTTCTTAGCAAGAAGAGAGCAGAGTAAGTGGTGAAAGACGAAGTCCAGAGGGAGCTGAGTGCTGATCCATTGCAGAGAATGTGCTGTCCTGGCATGCTTTGAAAAGAGTCGAGAGGGAGAGACTCTAGAGTCAGAAATCCTTGGGAACAGTTTTCCTGATGTTCCCCTTTCAGGTAGTGGAAGCAGATTTTTCTCTTGGGGTCTGGTACAGAGCCTCTTGCCAGCTTATTTTTGGGGTGGGGTGGATGCTCTGGAGATACTGAAGAGGCATTGTCTACTTCCAGTCCTTCAAGGGGAAAGAAAGGGGTGGGTTGCCCTGTGGATCCGTGATACAGAGAATTCCTTCCAGCAGAGGGGAAAGGACTCCACCTGGAAGCTCTCTGGATGATGTCACAGCACTCACAATGACATCATAGTTGAGCTGGCATATGGCCTTGCACTGGAAGTCCTCAGTAGATGCACAGCAGGAGCCAGGAGCATCATGGCTGTCCCCAGGATCACGAGCAGATCCTTGTCTTCAAGGTCTCACAATATTGGCCCCTTTCCCTCTCTGGCCTGGTGAGTACTGAGGGCTGGGGCACCCTGGGAGCAACTTGTTTTGTAATAGCTAGCATCTCTCTCCTCTCTCTTGGGCTCCTCTTAAACCATCGTTTCCTAACCTTTTTAATCCAGTTCCTTGCTGGATACTCAGGGAGTTAATCAGTGTAACGTGCTTAGAAATTCTTATTTTCCCCATATATAAAATGAGAACAGAGACTTTTTTTTTTTGCCTCCCTGGGGCAGAAGGGTTTGGGTATCCAGCTCCCATTGCTCTTACTGATTTCAGTAGTTACATGTACCTGAATATTTGTTCTTTAATGATTGACTTCAAAAGGCCCAAGGTGTTTAGTGCTGATCAAGACAGAAGCCTCTCTTTGTTGCCAAGGTGTTACAGTTGTGCAATAAGAACGGCTGGCATCACAAGTACCTCAAGCAGTATAGAGAAGGCTACTTCCTTCAAGTACTACAAACCCATGCCTCCATCACTTCAGTTTGCACTAATAGGAATAGTGAATAACCATCCCCAGAGTTGAAAGCAAGTCTGTCAGTCTGTTTCTTACCTCTGGCGTCTCTTCATCGTGCGGGTCTGTCCTGCGCTTCAAAGTAGCGTGGGTGTCTGCATACACAGCAGTCACAGGAGTAACAGCACTATAGACCTATGGACGGATAGATATATTTGCATTATGTTTAACATTTCAGGGGAGATGAATCTGAAGGTGAAAAAACCCTGAAGCCAGGTCTAGTGAGGCAACAGGTAAGAAAGAACAAGCGCAGTGTGGATGGGCATGGTGTGATGTGGAAAGGACATCTGCAGCCCAGCAGTGTGGCAGTGATTCTGCTTCATTTGCACTATCATTATATATCCCTTGTCCTTCTCCTGCAAACTCAACACGCTGATGGTTTGGACGACTGAGTGGTGCCCCTCAGCTTCTCTCTCATACAGTCTGTCACACGTCCTCTCTAGTCGTTGCATCCAGACCTGCTCCGGATTTTTCAGCTTTAAATGATTTCAAGAAGGCTAGTCACATTTTTAAATTTAAAAGTGTTAACTGTTATGAATTCTTAAGGGAAACCAGCCATGCTGTAACAATTGCAGCTTATTACAGTGCTTCCTGGTTTGAAGCACGTATTGGGTCCAAGTGCCTCTCTCGCTGGGACTAAGCTCCATGCCAGGGATGCTCGGGTGTGGGCAATCTGGGTGTTTGTGTTCATTTTGCCAAAATAGTGTGCAACCAGGGGGAAGTTCAGGCACCAGCATGGAGCATAGGGCCCCTGAGGGCTGTGCCAGTTGCATCCAGGTGCCTGTGGCCAAGCAGCTAGGACCAGACAGAGTGCTGCCATGCTTCGGCCATGCCTCCGGCTTTAGAGGATGCCCTTGGCATGTTTCTTGCTCTTGGACTTCTGCAGAGCTTGGCAAGGAGCTGGCTACATCAGCTGAACCCCCGCCTGTGTGGACCTCTAAATGAGGATAACGCATGGTGGCTGCACGCCAGGAATGAATCTGATCTGTGCTAATTGCATGAGTTTAAATTGGCTATAAAATAATATGAAAATAGAGCTGGTGGGGCACATCTGCAATGTCATCAATAGATCATGGATCAGTCCCACAAAAGTCTATGGGGCTACAATTGTTAGTAAAGATTGCCTGTGTGTGGGAGAGCTTACTGGGCTGGTCCCTGGCGTTGCAAGGTCCTTGGGACAGAAACTGTTTCTCTTATCTCTATTATAGCACCTTATAATTAAGTAACAGCCTTGTTAGAGTCGTCCTTTAATAACTGATCTGCCCGACTGCCTCTCCCCACCCCTCGCTGCAAGATGCATGTTGAAGGGACTGTTTTGAGTGTGCTGCAAGCACTGTCCAGGCTGTCCTTGTTCCTAACTGTTTTCCAGGCCAGCGTCCTCACGAGCAAAGCCAGCGGGGCAAGCTCCTTTCACAGACGCATGGGGGAGTTTGCAGAAGTCGCGGACGCGGCCGGCGTGCAGCAGGTGGAGGATCTGATTAGTTCTGAGCACTTGCAAAAACTGGCGCGAATGTTTCAGAAGCCGAACAGAGACAAAACCAGAGGTGACGATGAGCCCGTGCCCCAAGCTCTTCTGTTTTTAGGAGGCTGTTACCTCTGCTTATTTACTGTTTGATAACTACAGTATTTGTGTTCTTCTTGAGACACCTAGAGTCTACTCAGTAGCATTCAGCATCATAGTCCCTTCCAGGCCCATCCATTAGTTTGCATTCTGCTTTTTCCACCATGTAGAAAATCTTGTCCATGCATGCATGGAGACCCCCTAACTTTGGCTTTCTGTAAGGTGAGGCAGAAACAAATTTCTTCTTTCTCTGTTATTAGATGTTGGCTTCTGTGCCCTACTTGTATACCATGGGAAGCCAGGCTCATTATTTAGGCAGCTAGGAGGAAACAGTCCCCCTGGCTCCAGGTTAGGTTGGAATAGATGATTTAAATGGGACGACACAACATAGTATAATGATATTCTGCAACTTCTTCTGGCTGAAGATGTCTGAATTCTTTTTAAACACTGGCTAGCCCTCACAAATCCCCAGTGTAACAGTCCAGTATTACCAGTCTATTTTTATAAATGGGGGAATATGGCACAGAGAGAATCTGACTAATCCTAGGCTAGGTGGCAGACCAGGAGCAGAGTTTAGGCATACATTTTATCTGTCCGGACACGCATTCAGACATTAACCTTCCCTTGTGGTTTAGTCTTTTTTCCTGCCATAGCTCAGTGTGTTTGCTTGTCCTCACAATGGGCTGATTTTCAGAAATGCCCGTTCACACAGATTGGTGTGATCTCTGGATGTGGTTCTCCAGGTATTACCAAAGAGCTGTCGAGATGCTTTGGAATATCAGCCGATGTAGAAATGCCAAGGGTAGCACACCTGAGATTCGCACAATCTAGGGAAGTTTGTTTGTTGGCCGAGGTGATGTGCAGAGTTCAAAGGGAGACATGAAAATTCATTGAGCTGGAAAATTTGATGAAAACTAAAAACGTGCATCTTTTTCCTTCCATGTTACAGCTTGTTCTCCATTAAAGTCTGTTTGCTAATTTCACTTCCCTTTTTAAACACACAACTGTGGCTTGCAGGCAGTCAAACGGAGACTAAGGCACTTTTGTGCACAATCACCCTCACAAATACTGATTCAGGTTGAGGCAGGCTAAGAAAACCTTAGAAGTCCCTACTGAAAATTGTACTTGAATACCCAAAACTAGATTTTCAAGGAAGCCATACACCTATCATGTGCCTGTATGCACGCGACTTGACAACCCGTGCTGGCATGCGTGCAATTTGGGAAATTACATGCCAGTAACTGATCTGTGTGTATTTGCACACACTGGTGTCTGCCTTCCTTGCATAGTTGCAGTAAGTAGTGTGAGCAGATTAGACATCCAACTGCATGCCTTTATTGCATACATAAACTGTAAAAATCTTCCTCCAATGGTGTGTTTGCATTGCCTTGAATATTAGTGCCGTTATGATGCAGTCTGTTCACGGTCTGTTTCCTCAATAAACACTTGTGTGGAACACCTAGGGCTGATATACTGTGCTTATTCTCTCAGGGCTGGATATTGAGGAGTTCCGTGAAGCAGTGAAGGAGATAATGGGCAATATTGAAAATGAAGATATTGATGTCATGTTTATGAAGGTTGACAGCAATTGCGATGGCTCTGTAGTCTGGGTAATGCTCCTATGCTGTATAATCAGAGATAATGCTTGGCAGGTAGCAATAGGAAAAATAATTTCCTGATTACTTCTCTTTAATTTGGTCCGATGCTGGTGGAGATCAGTGTTTATGTTCATCGTTATTTTCCCATAATTCTTTCTGTATCCATCAGCACCGCAGACCCCAAGATAATTAATTACTCTCTCCCTTTGATACCATGCTAATGATGTTGCTGTCTCTCTTACAGGAAGAGTATCTGAACTACATGCTACTACAATACAGGGGGAAGGTTGACATGCTGGAGGGCAAATCGCATCTGTTATTTCAGACACCTATGAAAGTCATCCCAGCGTAAGATCTCTCTTAGCCCTTCACTCTCCAAGGAAGAGAGGTCCACATTCAAGCGCTAGTAACCTCAGGGACCTTACTGTGTGCCTCATTTTGCCTTCTGTAGTCTCTCCTCAGCTCAAAAGCACCTGGGTCTTTAGTTCATCTGCAAAATGCTGGGCTCCCTTATGAGTCTTAAGTGACTCGCCCTCTGCTCCCAACCTGCCTCCCCTCCACCCTCAAAGCCTTTTACAAACGTTCATCACCTCCTTTGCTTTCCTGGCAGTCTGTTCCCTTCCCCTGATCTCATTTCTCTTCCTTGCTCAGGATGGTAGGCCAGGAAATCATCAAGGTGCAGTTTTACCCAAGCCAGGGCTGGGCCAGGGACAAGCAGAAGGCAGCCAAGAGCAGCAGCAGCCGGAGCCTGTCGGGCCGGTTCCTGACAGTCACCAGGGATGGAGTCCTGCTCTACTGGAGCGACGCATTCAAGCTGCTCCGCACCGTCCGTGTACGTGCTCGCATCCCTGTTTGGAAGGCAGCCCAGATTGTCCAGCATGGTGCCTCTCACCCTTTCCATATGCAGGATCCTCCTCCCATTTAACCATGCAGAAACGCAAAAGGGAGCAGGACTGTGGCCCTGCTGACTGTCGCAGCTCTTGACATACCAGAGCTGTATTTGCTCCCAGCTGTCTCCTCTGCCCAGTGCCCTGAGCAGTAAATCCCCAGGTGCAGGCGCTGCAGAGCACTCACACGCTGGATTGGGGAGTTGCCAGCAGAAAGACAGGTCTGTGCTGGACTGGAGTCCTGTAGCTCAGCACTCAGGTGGTGTCAGGCCCTCTTCTTTACTGCTGCCACTTTCAAAAACTAATATTGAGGGAGCATAAGAGGAAAATTTTTCACACGAGGAATATTTTGCACTAATTTCCCCAGGGAGCCTTTTTAAATAGAAGCATCTGGTCTCAGCTCAGATTACTGTCTGCTAAGTCTTCTTTTACTGACTGCAAATGCAAGAGAATGAATCAGGACTGAACACTACAGGATATGGCCAATTAGCCCCTGGACTCGTATTTTCCTGCTTTCATCCCTATTGCATCTCCAACAGTAAAAAATCTTTTTTAAGGTACTGGTCTCCAATGCTGTTTGGAGCGGAAAATGCTAGAGGTGCTGTTTGCTTGGGGTGAAATTCAGGTGCCCCTTGCAAGTTTGACATAAGCTCAAGCTACTAGGTGTTTTGCCTTATGAGTAGTTTAAGAAGCTGAGCTTTGCAAAAAGTATTCAAACACCAAGTTGTCCTGCCTTCCGGGACTTACCAAGGTACATTTTTCTCCTCTCTGCAGCTTGACCAGACCAAGCGAAAGCACACTCATAAGATGTGGGTCATCGACATGGTGTGTCTGCCAAATATCAGCCTGTTGGCAGTCGCATCTACTGAACGGACTATCGGTAAACAGAAAATTATTCCCCATTCTGAGGCTTGGGGCCCTATCCAGCACAACTGATGTTAATGGGGATTTTGCCATTAATTTCCATGGGCACAGAGCCTTGCTGCATGTGCATTGCATTCATGTTGTCTATAGCACATGCCTGTGTGTATGAATGACCAGACAAACAGCTGTGATTGTGACAGGTGCTGGATATCCATCTCAGTCTGATAACTAACCCTCATCAAGATGATGGTAATTTCACAGGATTTCTCTCTCTCTCTCTCTCTCTCTTTTTTAATATGCACAGAGTTCTTCGATATTAGTGGCGTCAAATGTGACAGGGTTTTCTACCTTGCTGAGCTGGAAGGATGTGCGACAGCCCTGGATTACTGGTAGGTTACCTGCTTCTCCAGAAGGTAAATTATCTGTCTAAATAGGTCTTTTGGTTGCAGACCTGAGCACTGCTCTGTTTTGGGGTCTGATCTGTTCTCTTGTGTTTCCACCTGAATCAGGACAGATGGGCACAAAGGAGTGTTTTGTGCTGGTGATGCGAAAGGAAATGTTCTGATCTTCACCTCCCTGAATGTTTTGGCAAATGGACTCTTCAACGTTCGTCCCTATATAATTAAACCAGGTACAGAGACTTGACAGCAGTGCCCGGAGTGTGGCATGCTCTTCTGCAGAGGGTAAAATAGAGAGTTTACCTAAATAGTCCTCCTGAAGGATGAGCAGGAGTGACTTCAGAAGCAGAGGTGTTGATCTGAGATGATGAGCTTTTCCCACTTCCCCCACCCCCTGGGGGTCCACAGAGTAGATCTAAGGGGTCGGCAGAAGATGACTACGATCAATCAATAGTATGTGAATGCCCACACTTACAGTTCGTAGGGCTCCGCACCTCCACTTGACATTTCCAAAGGGGTCTACAAATGAAAGAGAGGTTAAAAACCACTGGTGTAGGATAATTGTGGCCAATACCGTAACCCTGTGAGGGCCACACTCTCCTCGGACAGTTTAGGTGGATCTATGAAAACTAAACAGTCCTTCCAGCAGGCTCTACAGAAAGCGTCTCGACAGCCGTCGATCCTTTCGATCACAGTGTACACGTAAGAGGTCTAATCAAATGCCTGATGAATCCGTTTGTGGGCGACGAGACCAGTTTGAGAGCGGCACAGCTTGTTACAAGTTCCCTAGATCTGTATGCTGTCTGAGTTGGAGTCCAAGTGCTTTCTTCTTTCTCACTTTGCATCCACCCCTGGATCAAAGCTGCTTCATGTTGAGCTGCACCTGGTGCCAGATGTTGCTTCCAGATGAGGCAGGATTCTGCGCACTGCTCCCAGCTTTCTGTGTTGATGTTGAATGACTTTGTACCTTTTTTGCAGTACCACCATCAAGGGCGACCCCGCTTTGTAGAGCCAGCTCAAATCTCACTATATAAAATATTCTTGGGGATAGTCTCCTCCTGTTCTTCTGACATGGCCGATCCATCGCAACCTTTTCTTCTTGACATTGGCTTCTAAGTGTGTCAGTCCTGCGTGCTCCAGTACCGCTGTGTTTGGCATTGTCTTCCCACTTCGTTTTCAGGATCTTCTGCCGACATCTTGTGCAGAAGCCGCTCAGTCTCTTGATGTGCCTAGCATACATAGTCCACGTTTCTGAACCATAAAGCAGGGATGACAGTGCACAAGTCTCATAGATTCAAATTTTCCCCTTCACACTTGACTCACCGTACTCTGCTAAACATCCCGAGGCACTGATGGGGTTAGACTGCTTGTTATTGCTTTGAATGTATTTCAGCACTGAATGTGAAAGCTTTCCTTGGAGAACGGTTGCAAGTACTGGGATGCGGGTGACCCTGTTGCTTTTATCGTGGTCTTTTTCCCCAGGTGTTGCGGCCAGGATTCCCATGCAGCTTCTCCTGAAAGAAAAGGGCTCCCTGTACAGCAGTTTCCGAATGCCTGTGAGTTTCCATTTTATTGGTCGCACTGAACCCACCATCATTTTCACTCTTGGCATTGGAGATGTGTTTGCAGTACACTATAAGGAGAAGTCCAGTGCCCAGCATTTTGTTCTGATGGCTTGCTGGAGCACTAAATTTTTTAAAATTTAATTTCAAGGGCCAAATCAGTTCTGCATTATATTGGGCAAAGCCCAATAGTTTAACTTCCAAATTCCAATCGTTTCAGCGTGCGTGCGTGCGTGTGTGTGTACCACCAGGCAAGTATCCTTCCTGCTAGACCCATCTTTCTTGGGCTTTGGATACTTTCCAAATCCATGGCAGGCATCCTACATGCAAGCCTGGAGGCCTTGGGGTTCAGATGCCCCCTTGTCTCACTTGCTCCTAGCCAAAAAGCAGAAGAGCAAGCCATGGGGGAAACATAAATGCAGTTTGCCACAAATTTGTGCAGTCAAGTTTCCCATTTCCTGCCCCACCCCCCCCCCC